ATCTGTTCCAACATTTTGTAGTGTCAGTGTTTGGGATTTCCATTCCTTAGTAGACATGTAATAGACATATAATGCTTTCTTTTATTTTAATTCCTATTTCCTGAGTGATGTAATGATATTTAATATCTTTTCATGTGCTTATTTGCCCTCTGTCTATATTGGTGAACTGTCTATTTAGGTATTTGCCAAATTTTAATTTAATTAAAATATTTTAGTAAGTTCATTTAAATAAGACACCTGATTTAAAAATATCTAAGATGTACTTTTAAATTTATTTATTTGTATGTGTTTATTACTTCCCTGAATGATAAGTGCCTCTTTATTAAGCTACACCACAGAACTATCCTGTCCTGCATCTTCCCATTAACACAACCACAGTTTATAATCTTCTCTTACTCCTTAGACTTGTCATCAGCCATGGCAAGCTGGAGTCTTCTCCCTTGCTGCTTTACAAAAAGGTGCCTAGTCCACAGGGACCTAGCAGCACCAGGAGTGGCAGAAGTAAACCACTTTTAACTGGATTGTTAATTTAAAAATGGATCAGTCCTTTGAGTGTCTGAAGATATTCCTGTTGTCTTCCTTTTACTGGTGTGATTTCTGATTTCTGGTTTAATTCCATTGTAGTCTGATTTCTGGTTTAACTCCATTGTAGTCTGAAAGTAGATGTTGCATAATTCCTTTTTGTTGTTGTCATTCATGAGGCTTGAACTTGGGCTGGGTGCCATCCCTGAGCTCTTCAGCTCAAGGCCAGTGCTCTACCCTTAGAGCCACAGCACCACTTCCTATGTTGCTTAATTTCTCATTTTTATTTTATTTATTTATTTATTTATTGCCAGTCCTAGGGCTTGGGCTCAGGGCCTGGGCACTGTCTTTGAACTTCTTTTACTCAAGGCTAGAACTCTGCCACTTTAGCCGCAGCACCACTTCTGGCTTTTTCTGTGTATGTGGTACTAAGGAATCGAACCCAGGGCTTCATGCATGGTAGGCAAGCACTGTACCACTAAGCCACATTCCCAGCCCCAATTTCTTGTTATTGTAAATTCATTAAGTGGCGTCTGATGGCCCAGATGTAGTCTATTAGTGTGTGGTACACATGAGCTCAGGAGAATAGATTCTCTGTTGAGGCAGTGGTCCATAGAAATCAGTAATAGGAAAATGTGGCAGTGATTAAGATGCATCCTATTCATAATCTGACATATGGATTTGTAACCTCTTTGTACAACTACTTAATAATAAAAAAAACTTGACAGTTATATCCAGGTCATTGGCAATCCAATTGAAATAAACCTTGTCCATGCTTATTGTCTGCTCCACTATATCTATTTCTCAAAAAGGTGTTGAATGAAGCTTCTATACGGTAATATTGGATTCATCTCCTTGTAGTTCTATCAGTTGTTATCTCTTGTATTTTTAGAATCTGCCTATATAATTAATGACTGCTCTGTCTCTGACTCCATTGACTCCACCATAATTATTGCCCATCTGAATCTCTTACTTCCCTTACTCTGGTCTGCATATCTCAAATGTTAAAGTAGCAGCTCTGAATAGTGTTAACATGGTATATCTTTTTCTGTACCTTTGCTTTTAGTCCATTGGGTCTTTATATTTATAGTGGGTTCCTGGTAGACAACATATAGTTGAGTGTTCTTCTAAGATCTTACTCTGATAATTTCTGCCTTTTATTGAGGCCATCAGTGTGTAGAGTAATAGTGATATAATGGAGAAATAGCTACCACACTTATTACTGTTATCTTTGTTGGTCTTAGTTTGTGCATCTGTGTTTGTCTTCCATAATTTTTCCTTCTTTTGTTGTTTTCATTGAACCTCTTCTCTGCTTTCATTTTCTCATATATATATATATATATATATATATAGCTTATATATGTTATATGCCATTTAAAAACTTTTGTGGTCAAGCTAGTTTGCACTAGTCATTTACAACTAATCCAAGTCTACTCTCAAATGGCATAATATTCTTTCATACGTAGAGCATTTTAATAACAAGGTTTTCCTAACTCTGGCTACATTGTTACTGTTGTTATTTTGCAACTGTTATCTGCTAGGTCAGTTAAGAACAAGAAAAACGTTTTAAAGCCAAAGCATTGTGGTACATGTAGATCTTAGCACTGAAGAGGCTAAAGTAGGAGGACTTCAAGTTCTAAGCTAGCCTGAGCTACATAGTAAGACCTTCTCTCAAAAACAAGTGAACAAAAACAAATGATTGAGTTTTAAATAAAAGTTTAATTTTACCTTCACCTAGTACTTCCATAGTGTTCTTCCTATAAAGCTCTGAACTTCTAACATATATCATTTCCTTCTCCCTAGAGTACATACCAGTTTTAATTGTTTTGGGTTTTGTTTTTAGTTTTAGTTTTTTCTATATAACTGATCCTGTTGGATTAGTTAGAATATTGAGATGTTGAAAGCGTATGTAATGCAGCAGCTAGTCCTTTCAGCGTCCCCTTGCTTTTTCTTACTGACCAAGCCGTTTGATCTTTTCCATCCTGAAAACAAGGTGGCTCAAGTCTGCTGAGCAGACCCACTGCAGGATGGCAAATGATTTTGATCCCGACAAACTTTGCTCAATATGATATTTGGAAAGACATTTATATAGAGGGTCCTCAGGAGATCTTGAACATATTTTATTCTCCTGAAAATTATGCCAACTCTGCATCCTAGTTTCCTCATTTATCTAATAGTTTGGGAGGGTTGTTTTCTGGTTTTGTCCAGTCCTGGGGCTTGAACTCTGTATCTGTGTTCTTGTGCTCAAGGCTTATACTCTACCATTTTGAGTCACAGAACCACTTCTGGTTTTCTTATGGTTAATTGGAGATAAGAGTCTCATGGGCTTTCTTATCCAGGCTGACTGAACCACAAATCTCAGATCTCCGCCTCCTAAGTAGGTAAGATACAGGTGTGAGCTTCTGGCACCCAGCTTTAACCAATAGTTTTTAAGTCCCAGATGTGTTGTTCATTTTGAGAAATGACCAGCAGAAAAGAAATTCAAAATTTTGTAACCTTACGATCTAACATAGATATGTAATACTTACTGGAGATGGTTAGGTGAAGATTCTGTGTCAAATGATGCTTGATACAACTTTCAATGACAGTGAATTCATTTTCCTCTGTCTTTACTCTCTGTATATGGGTCTTACATACATTGTCTAATTCGTCTTGAGCACTCCTCAGAAGACAGATTTCCCCCTTTATCACTGTGGCTTGATCCCAATGCCTTGCTTGTAAGAGCTCTTGAGTGATGTTTCCAGGAATCAGTGCTCATCACCACAGAACTTGGAAATGAGGTGAAGCACTCAAGCACATCTTACTTTTCACTGAGAGTCAGCCAAGTGGGCAGCTTGTGAGGCTGAGAGTTAGAACATTGGTACAGGTTGCTTGAGGTTTCATGAAGTAGGCTCCTCCTGAAGCACGTAGCTGCCTGCTTTATTCATTTGGTCTCTAGGTCCACTTTCTGCGCAGCTGTTCCTTTTCTCTCAACCTGGTCATGTAGGCTCTTTTCTCCTCTAGAAGCATCTCTCTTTTTCTAGGGTTTCCCTGCCACAGATTGCTGAACCAGTAAGAACCTTAGAGTCCCTACATATGACTTGCTCAAATAAGTGACACAATGGGCTAGGATGTGGCGCAGTGGCAAAGTGCTGGCCTAGCAAATGCATCATCCTAGATTCAATCCCTAATATCAAAAAAGAAAATACAAAAAATAATACATCTAAAACCAACAAAGAAGTGAGACAAGTGCTCAAAACTACAGTCATCAGGCAAGTGCTGGTGGCCCACATCTGAAATTCTAGATCCGAGGATAGCAATTGGAAGCCAGTCTGATCAGAAAAGTGTGTGACCCTCTTATCTCCAATTAACCAGCAAAGAGTCAGAAGTAGAGGTATAACTTAAGTGGTAGAGAGCCAGTCTTGAGTAAAACAGCCAAATGAGAACACACAGCCCTGAGTTCAAGACCCAATACCAGTATACACACACACACACACACACACACACACACACACACACACACCTGCAATTAGTAACAGAGTCCAAATGTCCTGTTCAAAATGTGCTGTTATTATTATATGATCTATGATTGTTTCTCTGTCCTTGAAGGACCAACCATTACAGATTCTAGTGCAGCATTAGACCATCACTACCCTAGCCAGAAGATGAAAGATTGCTTACATTGTAAGATTTGTGTGCAATCTGGGATGAGTCCAGATTTTGCCAGGTTCTGAATCATCAAGCCTTCCCCTGTGCACCTGTCTTAGCCAACCTTTCTCCAAATGGCTGTATTTCTATCATTTTCCCGCGTACTGATGATCACCATCCAGGTGGTAATTGAGAACAAAGGAGAGCAGGGAAGTGCAAGGACCCAAAAGAAGAAATGACAGAGCGAGAGGCTCAGCAGAGGGCAGTGTGCTGGATGCTGAGCTGGCTTCACAAGGGTAGTACGAGCTACAAAGAGACATGGAAGCAGTTTGCTCATCCCTCTGCACCCCACCTTGGACTAACTGTACTTACAGCCCATGTGATTTAATCCTAGGGAAACCCCTAGCATAGGTGTGCACACACATGCAGATATACATGTACACTAGTCCTGGGGGCTTGAACTCAAGGCCTGGATACTATACCTTAGCTTTTCCCATTCAAGGCTGGTGCTCCACTATTTGAGCCACAACTCTACCTCTAGTTTTTTGCTGGTTAATTAGAGATAAGACAGACTTTCCTGCCTGCACAGGCTTTGAACCATGATCCTCAGATCTCAGCCTCCAAGTAGCTAGGGTTACAGGCCTGAGCCACTGGCATTGGCTAGGTGTATATTTGAGCTCACTCATTTTCAAGGTTGAGAAGCCTGGCATCCCCATGGGAAGACTTTACAATATGTCAAATATTGAAAATGAGACAAAACAAAACTCTGTTCTCCTATGGTGTCTAGGGTAAGGCTTTAGCTGTTCTATTATTTTAAGTTTTACCTTGCTTGTTTATTTTACTTTGCACAGGACCAGCTCTCCGCTGACATGTACAGTTTTGTCGCCAAAGAAATTGACTATGCAAACTACTTTCAAACGGTAAGGGATGGGAAAGGTAAGAATGCTGGCATCTGTTTCCTGGAGTCATGATACCCACAGGAAGTTAATGTGGGCCTGGAACCCAGGGCCTCTGGTTGATTACATCACAGAAAGGAGTGGTGCATTGACTGTTTTAACCTGTAAATAGATTCTGCCTTCTATTAATTCTTGTATAGATTAGTCTCAAAGCCCAAGATTAAAAGTTACCACTCTGCTGGGTGCTGGTTGTTCACACCTGTAATCCTAACTATTCAAGAGGCTGAGATGTGAGGATTACGGTTGGAAGCCAGCCCAGGTAGAAAAGTCCATGAGACTCTTAATCTCCACTTAACCACTTAAAAACTGGAAGTAGAGCTGAGGCCCAAAGTGAGTAGATTTCTAGCCTTGAGCACAGAATCTCAGTGACAGCACTCAGGCCCTAAGTTCAAGCCCCATGGACTGACAAAAAAGTCATCCTCCCCCCAATCCTGAAGATTAGTGAAGCACTGTTGTCCATGGCAGTAATTTCATATCCAAGAGGGATTCTGCTTCCTTTCCTAGCAGATATTTGGTAGGCTCTAGAGACAAGTTTTGGTTGTTACAACTGTCCTGGCCACTTATTACGTAGAAGTTCACTGTTGCAAAATCTTGGTCTATGCCCTGGGAGACTTGGGGAAAAAAACAGAAAGATAAACTTGTCACCCCAAGTGCAGATATGTGTGCTGGTCGATTTTTGTCCAAGACAACAGCAGGTAGAGAATATTGAGATGCCCTGCTGGCCTGCCCGTCCTCAGTGTAAATACACTTAAGAGACTGGAGTGCAGGAAGAAGCCGAAACTGAGCCTCCTACCATTGAATGATGTCGTTTAGATTATTAGGACTGTGGCTATTTATCAGGGTAAATGAAACCAAGTCAGAATACAGAAAAAAATAAAATATCATGACAGAAAAATAATATAAAATGAAAAAGCATTACGCTTACCTGCTTTTAAAGTTGAGAACAAAACTCTAGAGCTTACAAGGTATTGTTTTTGTTTCTGATTCTGTTCTTTTTACTTTTAATAACCAGAAAAAATGATGGAAGGATAAAGGAAAGAGAGACAAAAGGATAAATCCTAAAGAGTTTGAAATGTCTTGTGGTAGATGGTGGATGAATTAACTGTGGGCTATTAGCAGTTTCCCCACATTTTCCTTAGTGGTGCAGATATTCTGAAGTTTGTCCCTTCTACCCTGCAAAATATCTCCTATGTCTTGTTTCCATTCTTAAAGCTTATTTTAAAATAGTAGCAACCTTTTTTTTTCCAAATGTATTCCCTTTGTTGTTTGTAATAGTTCCTAAAACCAATGAGATCGTTGGCATTCCAAGTTTTATCAGACTGCTTCATAGACCTTTATGTATCATTCATTTCAAAAGTCTCCTTCACCTTTTAAAGAATTCATACCTGTCTTATTTTACTATTGTTATTGGTGTTTCGCTTCCATACCAAGCTCTGAAATGATGATTCTTTTTTATCTGTGATATACCTCTACCTTTAGGGCAGGTTTGGGAAATAAATGGATTTCCTGTGGTCCTGATCAACATGCTACCAATTTTTTGACTTAGTGAGATGATACAGTAGAACACCTCCAAGGAACTTGTTCTTTGGGTCACATCAACATAGCCAAAGCAGTTTCACCTCCCAGTGTTTGTGTAGAAAATAGTGGAGCCAACCACATGTTTTCTGGTCAATCATATGTTGAACTTGGCAATGATCAGCATGTGTGCTGGGTGGTTTAACCTGCACATACCTCACAGGCAGATGCCTTTCTGCCTGTGGTTTTCATTTATATCCACCTATTGTTGCATCTCTCCTTGCTTTGAGGATGGGGTTCCAGGTGAGATGGGGTGACATGAATGGCAAGCTCTCTTAGGTTAGGCTTCATCTTGTGAGAGGAACCCATGTTGCTTTTTGGTTCTTCTGCCTCCCAGATTTCCACTTGAAATGGGAATATTTGCCACAGAGGCTAAAGCATGCCCATTATTGTGAGCAGACCAGAGTAGGGAGCTGGATTTTGTTCCCATGAGTGAACACCTTTATGCAGAACAGGCTCCGTGCCACTGAAGTCTAGGTTCTTACCCCTTGGCAAGAGGTAAGTCTTACCGTTTTGTTTTCTCAGCTAATAGAAGTACAGGCTGAATATCATAGGAAGTCACTGACCCTGCTGCAGGCTGTGTTGCCTCAGATTAAAGCCCAGCAAGGTAAGTGCAAGCCTTCCTTGGAGTAGGGTTGGCCTGGGAAGCCTGGTTGCCATTCTTGTTAAGACCATGTCCCTATGTGTCACTTACCCTTACATTCCTCCTAATAAGGTTGCGTTTAAATGAGCCACTACACAAGTTGGTGTTGATCCAGTTATTTATGAAGCCAAGCATACCACTCTCCACCACACACACACTCCATACCACCTATCAACAGATATGTTGTAGGTACATACAAGTATCTACAGTTGTGGGTGTGTCACATTTTCCTCAGCAGCATTGGACACAGATGCCCATCTACCCTCTCCCATCCTCTCCATCATCTCCCGAACCACAGGAATAGCGACTCCCTTTCTTTGATAGTCATAGGAGAATCTGAACAATCAAAGAGAACCATTCCAGCTAGCATGGGCAGCTTTCGCAAGATGCCAGCTGACCCCTTTCTTGTTCTACCCCTTCAGAGGCCTGGGTTGAGAAGCCTTCCTTTGGGAAACCGTTGGAGGAGCACCTTACCATCAGTGGCCGCGAGATCGCCTTCCCCATCGAGGCCTGTGTGACGATGCTGCTGGAGTGTGGGATGCAGGAGGAGGTAGGGCAGAGCAGGCCTTGTCCCCAGCTGGTGTCCTCTTCCAAGAAGCAGAGCACCAGAGCCTTTCCTATAACACCCCTGCCCAAAGCCCCCTCAAAGAAGATGTGAAGTAGGGTGTTACCCTTCTCCTGCAGACATTGGTGGGTCCTGCTTCCCCCACCACAACCATGAGCCTTCACTTTCACAGGGAGAGCAGATGACTTGGAAGGGTATCACTCTCTGGCCACGAGGATTGTATGGCCATATTCTATCCGTTGCATCTTCATACTGAATGTGATCTTTGCTGCTGCTGTCACTCATTTCGTGTCATCCTCCTGTTCTTTTCCTCTCTTCCTTTTCCTCTCCTCTTCTTGCTTTACAAATTTCATAGCTTACAATAGAGTTTATAACCTTTCGCAATTTGATTGACAGCAACAATGAAAGATGCATTTTTTAGAGCCACATGTTAAAAAAAAAAAGAACTATGGTAACTTGGTGGCTGTTGCTGTTTTTCTTGCAGTGTCAGTTGTTTTCTGGGAGATAAATCCACCTCTGGTTTCTTCTATCAGCTCTTTGAACATCTTTACTCCATCTTTATATGACCTGATCAGCCAATCCATATTTATTCAGGGCATGCTATACACTTAATGTAAGAATGAGATAGGGATCTTATGAACTTATTGGAGGAGTTGTGTCTAGCGTACACACAATAAGCATGATTAATGTAAGATAGGCTGAAATAATCTTCAAATATAGAGGTTTATGGGAGGCAAACCGGGGCCATGGGAGAGAAACATTACCATTACAACTTAAAAATATTTAAATGAAAATGTCTACAAATAGATAACTTGTAAATCACATATAACTTTGAGTATAGCACACTGAAATCTGTGCTGGTGGCTCCTGTGTTGCTCCAGCCTTGCTCGAAATGCTGCATACTCAAAAAGGAATGGAGCACTGAAGATGTGGCTCAGGTAGCAGAGTACCTGTCTAGCAAATGTGAAGCCTTGAGTTTAATCTCCAAGACTACCAAAAATAAATAAATAAATAAGACAGTAGTTTGTGGACTCTAGATGTAGCTAAGCAGTAGAGAGCTCACCTAGAATGTACAAGTCTATAGGTTTGATCTCCAGCATTGCAAAGCAATAAGAAAAGAATGGCAATAAATTGGTTTGGATTTCTTTTCTTCTTTTTTTTTTCCATTGTCTTATTTTTTACTTTATTTTATTTTTATTGTGAAAATACCTTATAGAGGGGTTACGATTACATGGGCAAGATAATGAGTACATTTCTTTTTTTTTTTTTGGGGGGGGGTCTGGTCATGGGGCCTGACCCTGGGCCTGGGCGCTGTCCCGCAGCTCTTCAGCTCAAGGCTAGCGCTCTACCACTTGGGCCCAGTGCCACTTCCGGCTTTTTTCTTTTTTCTTATGTGGTGCTGAGGAATCCAACCCAGGGCCTCAGGCATGCAAGGCAAGCGCTCTACCACTGAGCCACCTTCCCAGCCCCAATGAGTATATTTCTTATCAAGTATTGTTGCCTCCTGCTTTGTTTCCCCTTCCCATCCCTTCCCATCTCCCACCCCCTCCCCCAGGCCAAAGTTGTAAATTTCATTTTTTGACATAATAACTTATATATCTCATTGTTGCAATGGGTCTACCTGTATCCCTATTTAAACGATTTGTTTTTTTCCCTTCCCCTCCACAAATTATACCAACATCAAATACAGTGAAAGCAAGGGTTATACCATGGGGGGAGGGACATACAAAGCAACAATCACATTTGAATACTTATCTTGGGGTTCATTTCACCTAACATCAACTTTAAAACCATATTTTATGTTTTAAAAAATTGTCACCATTTCCATACTTGTTATCAATGAAAGAGTATGAAGGCCTTCATGCTCCTTGGAAAATGGTTTCATGAAGGAGGCACACTGAGCTTTTGTTTCCCTTTTTGTTTTTAATTATGGAAACATGCAAAGGTAAGCTAATGAGCCTCATCCCCTGGCAATCTTGTTTCATCTCCACTTCGTCTCTTGCCCCCTAATCTCTGCTTTAGATAGTCCAGATATAGTGCTACTTCATTTATAATGCCTTTGAAATGTCTCCCTGAAAGAAAAGGGGTATTTTGAAATACAGCCATAATACTATTATATCCAAAAAAAAGTATCAGTCTTTGTGTCAAACATGTCTGAGGCTTGGAGTTTCTTTCCATTCAGCTTCTCTTCCATATATCTCTATCTTCATCTTCTTTTTCTATCTCTGTTCATAGCTCACTTTGGCTTTATAAGTTATAGAGGTTCATTTGGGCAAAGTGTTAGGGAATCTCAAGTTATGCCAATGATGCGTAGAGCATAGGGATTCCTTCACGTATCACCCCCTGTGTATGCACATGCAGAGATGCTCACACATGTGCATATGCACATACACATCTTTTCTCTCCCGTCTCATTAGACTTGTACATCTGACCAGATCTCAATTAAACTCTTCTTCAAGATTTATTTTGAGTGTAAAAGAACATAATTTCTAGCTGCACCAGTGGCTCATGCCTATAATCCTAGCTACTCAGGAGGCTGAGCTATGAAGATCACAGTTCTAAGTTGCCCTAGGCAGAAAAATCTGTGAGACTTTTGTCGCCAATTAACTACCAAAAAGATAGAAATAGAGGTGTGGCTCAAGTGTCAAGATTGCCAGCCATGAGTAGAAAAAGTTAAGGGGCAGTGCCCAGGTCCTGAGTTCAAGCCCCATGACTGGCACAAAAAGAAAAATATAAAAACCACAAACTCTTGAGTGCCCAAGGTTCAGTTATCTAACAAGTACCCACTGGACCACTCCAATGGGTCACAGTGGCACTGGGCATTAAGAATAGCACAGTGGGTAAGGGAGACCCATTTCCTACTCTCAAGGTACTTGTGTCTGAAGGCTGAGACATGCAAACATGCAGCTTTGATATTGCAGCATACTGTTGGAAGAAATTGCTGCTGGAGAGTTTAGAGGAGTGGAATGCAAGGACTTTCTGTCTCTCTGCTTTGCTTTTATCTCTCTGAGTCACATGTTTCCCACTCACCCTCTGTCCTGTTGCCAGGGCCTTTTTCGAGTAGCGCCCTCTGCTTCCAAGCTGAAGAAGCTGAAAGCTGCGCTGGACTGCTGTGTGGTGGATGTGCAGGAGTACTCAGCAGACCCCCATGCCATCGCAGGTGGGTGCCCCCAGCCTCTTAGCAAGGGCTTGATGGGAAAGGGGTGATCATGGACAATGCCAGGACACGTGAACCAATGGCTTCCTGATGTGCTCCTGCTGTGTGGCCTGAGGACCCAGTTCCAGGCCTGATTGTTCTAGCCCCTTGAAGGAAGGTCATTCTGGTGTTCCCAGAGAACATGGGGTGATGTGAGAAATAAGCAGAGGCCAGGTAGTATTCAGCCTAGGTCCCCACAATCCCATTCCCATTCATATGGGAGCTGTCATCTGATCTGGTCTTGCTCAGGGAGCCCCTCTTCATGTGCAACCCACATGCCCCTGATGTCTCTGCCATGTCACAATGTCTCATGATCCATACCGTATTTGTGCCTAGGAGCTTTGAAATCTTACCTCCGAGAGTTGCCAGAACCTCTCATGACCTTTGAACTCTATGATGAGTGGATCCAAGCCTCCAAGTGAGTACCTTGTGAGCCGGTAAAATTACAGATGAAAACTGGTCATCCCTTGGTAGCTGTGGACCTTAGTTCAGATTCCTTAAACAAAATGGCATAGTATTTGAATGGAACCTACACATGTCCTTTTGTGTACCTTGAATAATCTCCACATTACTTGTAATACCTAATACAAAAGCAAATAATTCCTATATGCTGTTGGATAGGGATTCATGGCAAGGAAGAGGACCTGTCCATGTTCAATACAGATGCAACTGTGGGGCTAATGACACAAGGACCAATTTTATATTCGTTGAAAACATGGAAGGGTAACGGCTCTCTTCTCTGACTCCATCGTGCAGAAATGTCTGTACGTGCCCCAAAAGAAACATGTATAAGAGTATTGACTGCAGAATTATTTTGGGGTAGCAAAATTTGCTGAAGAGTTTTTGAGCCCCAAACTAAACTGTTGTGCATCTTCACTGGCACACAGTTTGAGGAGATGAAAAAGTAAGTGGAGCCATTCAGGCTAATATATGAAGACAGGAGGTGAAATTAAGCAAGTTAATGAGGACACATAGGAGACAATTTAATACAATTTAAAAAAATTGTATTGAAAAGAAAAATAAGCACACACAAAGCACAAGAGGAATTTAGGAGTAGCCCTATATATGTGCACAAAAGAAGGCTTTGGAAGGGCTCACTCAGGCCATAGTAATGATTCTTCTAAAAAGGAAGAGCACAGCAAGAGAGTGAGGATAGGTCTTTAGTCTTATCTATGATCATAAAGAGTATGTTTGCACAGCTAATTAATAACACAAAGGCATAGCATAGACAGTGTGCACTGTCTGTCCCCTTTGTTCCCTCAGAAGGGACCAGTCAGGAGCAAAGCCCACGAGCACACTGGATTGGGAGTGATGGGGAAGCAGGAGAGCAGGCAGCTAGTGCAAGGCCTGCAGGTCAAGCCCCCACCAGGCCACATACTGTGGTTGCTAAGCCTGGTTTTTCTATGTGGTTCCTAGTTTGTGCATGCATTAGGAGGGTTTTACCTGTTCTCTTTGGCCAATGGTAAGAGTTATCTTAAGTGAACTACCGCTTCAAGGACGATCTGTGGCCATGTCCACTGAGGAAAGAATACTGAGGCAGGAGAGTTGGTACCAGAGCCAGGATGGTGGATACCAGGGTAGACATCATCTAGGCAAGAGAGGAAGGAGGTAGAAGAATATCGATGAGAGCAGGTGCAATTCTAGTTGTCCTTTTCCACATCACTGGGGTTGACAGGGATGCACCACCACATCCAACCATTGGGATGGAGTCTCCCAAACTCTTTATGCCTGAGCTGGCATTGAACCATAATCTTCCAGTCTCCACCTCCCAAGAAGCTAGGATTACAAAGCAAATTTCATTAAAATAACATAGGACACAGGGAATAACTCAAGTAGTATACCCCTTGCCTGACAAGCTCAAGACCATGAGTTCAAACCCAAGTACCGCGCGTGTGTGCACTCACGTACACCCCCCACCATGATTTCAGAACATTTATTTCAATAACAGAAAAATACATAATGTAAATTCAAAAAGAAAAGAAACTGGACAAGACAGAAGCAGAATGGAAAAATGGAAACATTTTTCATATTAATAGCTTGCTTACTAATAGTAGTTGGCTCTTAAATATGATGACTAGTTAGTATAATTGATGATGAGACTGATTGATATCCAACCAAAGGCTTTTTCTACCCCTTCCCAGTATCCAGGACCAGGACAAGAGGCTCCAGGCTCTGTGGAATGCTTGTGAGAAACTACCCAAGGCCAATCACAACAACATCCGGTAAGTGGATAATGGGCACATGTAGACTGGGCTTATTCAAGATATACAGACTTGCAGGGTATCGGTGGCTCACACTGGCAGTCCTAGCTACTCAGGATGCAGAGATTTGAGATTTGATGCCAGGCAGGAGAAGAAAGTTCATAAGACTCTTATCTCCAACTAACCAGCAAATTGTCAGAAGTAGGACAGTGGCTTAAATGGTAGAGCTCTGTCCTTGAGCCAAAAAGCTAAAGGACAGTGTCCAGGCCCTAAGTTCAAGCCCTAGAACTAGCACACACACACATATACGTATGTGTATATACATATGTATGCACTAGTCCTGGAGCTTGTGTATAAATCCATATCCATATATACATGTATACCTATATGTATGTATATATGTATGTATGTATGTATATACACATAAACACATTTTTCTGGGTAAAGCTAAACAGAAGTCATGGACATGATTACGCACAGCATGTGGTAGTATCTAAGCAACTGTGAACATGCCTGTTCTCTTTTAAGCTTAAGGAGCTGTAAGGTAATGCAATGACAGCATTTTACAAATAAGAAGAGACTGCCATATGACACTGGAGGCTTGCTAACTAGACATTGACGAATTCAGGAAGTTCTTTGATTTGCAAGGAGCAAAGAGTAATCTAAGTTCTATTAAAATATTGGAAATGCTGGGTGCCTATGGCTTACACCTATAATACTGGCTACTCAGGAGGCTGAGATCTGAGAGGTAGGTTCAAAGCTAGCCTGGGCAGGAAAGTCTGTGAGGCTCATCTCCAATTGACCACCGAAAAGCTTACAATGGGAGTGTGCCTCAAGTAGTAGCTCACTAGCCTTGAGCAGAAAAAAGCCAAGTGAGAGCATGAGGCCCTGAGTTCAAGTTCTAATATGGGCAAAAATGAAGGGGGGAGGAGGAAAATAGGGACAGAAAGGGAGGGAGGAGAAATACATTGGGAATTTATGACAGGAGTGGCTCCTGGACATGTGGGAGATGTTGACCAAAGACTGGGGGCTGGAGGAGTTTGTCCTTGAACTAGTCACAATCTCCAACCTTCATGGTTCATGAGACACAGCTGTTTTCCATCTCTGTCTCTCATTTTTCTTGCTGTTACCTCTGCTGAAGATCTCTCCCTACTCCTGGCTTCAGCACCTCACGCTCTCTGCTTCCTCCTCTTCCCACTGTCTTTCCCACACTCCTCCTAGCCCTTCTGTCTCTCCTCCCTGCTTCTGATGAACAGACTTTCAGCTTCAGCTCCTGTTGCCATCTGCTTGATTACTTGTGTCCCTTTTCAAAATCCCAAGAGCAATTCTTCAAAAAATTAAACCTAGAATTTCCATATGATCCAGCAGCTGCACTTCTGAGCTTATACCCAAAAGAATCGAAAGCAGAGCCTTCATATTTACACACCCACATTCATGGCAGCATGATTCACCATAGCCCAGAGTAGACATCACCCAAGGGTCTTCCAATAGCAGACAATGGAGAAATACAGTGGGGCAAAGACATACAAGAGGATGTGAAATTGTGATTCTTGCTGCAACATGGATGAACTATGTGGACTTGCTGCTGAATGAAAGATATCAAATGAAAGGGCAAAGGCTTGAGATTCCACTTACATGTAGTACTTAGAACAGTCAGATTTGTGGAAATGGAAGTGGAATGGTGGTTGCTGGAAGTTTAGCAGGTACAGTTTTTGTCTTTTCCATTTTTATATTTAAATTTTATATTTTCAATCCCATGAGTAAACATCAAGTCGCTACAACTCATTGAATATTGGTGACCACAGCTCAGCTCAAGGACACTGGTCATTGCATGGGTTGATTTCTTTCCAGTGTTTCACATTCTGGTGCAGTTCTGTGCGGCTCTTGGAGGTTGAGACCTGGTCAAGAGAAGCCATGGGTGGAATTGGCACTGTGGCAACATAGTGACTACTTGGTGGGAACCCATGTCGAGTCATCTTTCTGAGGGGCTGACAGAAGGGAATAAAGAAACCCTCCAAGGAAGTTGCTTCATTGTGGCCAAGCAAAGTGAGGTTAAGACCACACATCCTTAGTAATAAAGTTCAGGAGACATGACCTCAGGGTCTTTTTTAAATTCTTGGCAGGACCTGGCTGTTTTTCAGTGTGCCTGAGCTGTATTTGAGTGCTTTATTGTGCCTAGTTTCTTAATGGATTGATTGAAGTGCAATTCATATACCCCCAGGCCTTATTTAGAGCAAACCTCAAATTTACAAAGTTATACAATTGTTAGCACTGATTGTAGAGTGTTTTCATTATTCCAAAAGGAAAACCAGCTCCCATTACCAGTCAAGCTTCATACTGCCCCCCAGACCCACATATAAACATAAACATACAATACAGCTTCTGGAATCTATTAATCTACTTTATGGCTCTGTAGACTTAACTATCCTGGATATTTTGTGTAAATGGACTAATACAATCTATGACCTTTTGTATCTGGCTTCTTTCACTTATGTAATGTCTCCATGGTTCATCCATGTGTTAAGGGGTTATCATTTCTTCATTCCTTTTTAAGACTGCATAATAGTCCATATTTATTCATTCACCCTTTGATGGACATTTACCCATTTTGGAGCTATTATGCTGCTATGTTGTTCACTCTGAATTTTTATGTGAGCGTATTCCTCTTGAGTATAGCCCTTGGGGCAGAATTACTAGTCCACTTGCTATCTGTGTTTATCATTTGATTCATTGGACCTTTCCAGAAAGCCTGTCTGAAGGTAATTCCAGAAGCCACACTCTTAGCATGTCAGTGTTTCTGCTGATGACAGACACTTTGACTGCACAAGGGGCGAATGATAGGTTTTGACACACGGAAAGGCAAAGACTTTTCTGGCTGTCATTGAAGCAGATGTTAACAGCTAATGGAGTTGAGTTCTGAGTCTGTCTGCTTTTTGAAAAGAACACAAACTTCCCATTTCCTGACACTTGTTCTATATACAGCTCATTGTTGGTGGTGGCATTTGCCATGTGAGAGAAGTTTCCCTGTAGGTCTGGGGGAGTGTGGCTGGTGCTGAGCCTGGGGAAACCTGGCCTTTCTCATTTCCTTTCAGATACTTGATCAAATTTTTATCCAAGCTGTCCGAGTATCAAGATGTAAATAAGATGACTCCCAGCAACATGGCCATTGTCTTAGGACCCAATCTCCTGTGGCCACAAGCGGAGGGGTAAGTACTGGGAAGAGAGGCTCTGGGGGAGCAGCACAAGGTGGACCCTGAAGCATCAACAGCCTCAGTGAGTTTTCAGATCCTAGTTTGATCCACAAGGTAGACTTTTGTAAGCTCAGGAGAAGTTACACCCTCTAGAGTACTCTCGTTGATAGTCTCTGAGTCAGTCTCAGAGGTTCAGAGTCCTCTCTGAGCCAATCTACATCAGCATCAGGATAAGAAGAAGGAGAGCCAGGGGCATGATGGCGGTAGGCCAGGCAGGCTGTGCTTCATAGCACCTAGCTTCAGAGTTGGAAAAAGATGAGCTTGGCAAGCGGTAATAGCCACATCCTAACATGTTAGAAGTACATTCGTGGGGACAGTTCGTTTGCCCTGGAAGGTCCCCTTTCAGCAAGACAAAGTGTTTTTATGGAGAGAAATCCAGCTCACAAATCTGGGCCTGTACAGTTCCAGACCAGGGATCCTTCCTGGGCTCAGTGACCAAAGGGCTGTGAATGTCTTGTCCTGCATGGGTTGGTGACCCCGCTGCCTTCTCTGCCTTCCTGCTTGCAGGAACATCACTGAGATGATGACCACGGTTTCACTGCAGATTGTGGGGATCATAGAGCCCATCATCCAACATGCAGACTGGTTCTTCCCTGGAGGTATGTTGTGCCATCCAGATAGGGAGACAGAGGTGGGGAGCAGGAAGAACACTGTGAGTTCAGAGCCTTTGAAATCAAGTACTGCCAGGCCAGGATTTTGTAGGCTTTGTTTTCAATCTGTCTCTGCACATATATGCACTACAAATGCATCCAGTAGACTTGTGGTAGCCTGTTGTATTCTTATTTCTACCCCCAAAGAAATTATGACATGAAGGTATCTACTGCCTGTGAAAATCAGCTCCGTAGATGCTGCGGGTCTTACCTCCATCCAGGGTTTCTTTATGTCTATAAATCAATAGAGAGCTGGTGCAGAAATGATTTGCTGTTCCTCAAACTTTTTCTTTTAGAGATGTCAAGGGAGGTAGATGAAGTCTTTATTCAGAACTCAGACATCACCTGGATGTTGCCCTTTTGCTGCCCAAAGTGGGGTTATTTGAGTTGCCTCTCAGCATGTAAAAGTGGGAATCAGAGCCAATGAGATGCTTTTTTTCCCCTGGTTCCAAATGAGACTTTCAAGGCAAGGACACATCATTGCTTCAATGAGTATATATTTCTCAGTGGTAACAATTTCAAAGACATGGCAGTTGTTACATTAAATGTAGTGTTTGATTAAGAATATTGATACTGGTGGTTTATCACCATTTTATTACTGTTGGCTTACATCTGTAACCCTAGATACTGGGGAGGTTGAGATCTGAGGATTTCAGTTCAAAGCCCTCAATGTAGGTGAGTTAATGCATTAGCATTGTAGACAGACAGCTGTGCAGAATGTATCTATCTCCTCTATTAGGGAAGGGCAAAGATAGATAGATAGATAGATAGATAGATAGATAGATAGATAGATAGATATGAGAGCCAGCATACACTTCAATGGAATCTCTTTAGATTTACAGTAAGACAGTGTTACTATTCATAATTAATAATATTGAATCTTACTTTACTTTCTCAATTAGCTCCATTGGCTAGGATTTCAATAGCTGCAGTTATTGAATAGCTATTGAATAGCAGGTTTTTTCCTGACTTGGTTAGCACTCCTCAGGAACTGCTGCCTAAAGCATGAAGGTTGAAGAAGATGCTTGCTTTAGAAAAACCTTCTTTTCTGACAGTATCTCTCTGTTCCTGTTGTGTTATTATTGTTGTTTTGTAATACTGGGCATTGAACTCGAGGCCTCATGCTCACTAGGTAATCACGCTACCACTTGAGCCCCCAGTCCTTTTGCTTTTAGTTTGGTTTTTAGAGGGAGTCTCATTAACATTCCCTTTTTGGCCTTGGATGGTGATCTTCCTACTTCCCCCTCCCAAGTAACTGGGATTCTTGCTGACTTTGCCAAGGCTGGAGTCAAGCCACAATCCTCCTATTCCTTTCCCCCAAGACCCTAGAATTACAGATGTGAGCTACCATGACTGGCTCCATCCATTCCTGTTTTGTTTGTTTGTTTGTAAATCACAAATAGACATTGCTTTGTGGCACATCAGTCTATATAATCTGTTGTGTGCTCTAGTCTCTTAGTATGGTGAATTATACGCTTAAGTAATATCATGGGCAGGGGCAGGGGGCGTGATAAGAGGAGTCCTTTTCCTGTCCAGGAAGTCTGTAGCATATAGCTTCTTTCTTCCCTGCAGAGATAGAGTTCAACATTACAGGCAACTATGGGAGTCCGGTCCACATGAACCATAATGCCAACTACAGCTCCATGCCCTCCCCAGACATGGACCCTGCCGACCGGCGCCAGCCCGAGCAGGCCCGCCGGCCCCTCAGTGTCGCCACGGATAACATGATGCTGGAATTTTACAAAAAGGATGGGTATGAGCCAGTGTCTCTTTTTTAACACTGGGGACTGGGAAAGTTGGAAGGGCTGGGTAAGGAAGGGTGAGACTTAAGGAAACCAAGATTGACTTGAAGGATGTGCTTACCATTGGCAAGTTAGTGACTTGTAGCAAACAAACTACAAATCATTCTTTTGAAACTGAAGTTTGAAGTTTGCTCACTTGGCTGGTGCTCTACCACTTGAGCCAGACCTCCAGCCCCGCTTTTTTCTGGTTAATATAGAGATGGAGTCTAGCAAGCATTTCTTTTCAGGCATAAGTCATCAGTGCCTAGCTTGTGTCCTTATTCTTGATCTTGACTGGGATCAGCTTCTGGCTTGATTCCCTTTGGCAACAGCCTTCTTAGCTGACATGATGATGGTCAGTATCAATCAGTTATCATCAAAAGAAATAAAAGTGGGTCAGTTAGAGAAATTGAAAACCTGTATAAGCACTTTATTTTGATGAAATGTTTAAATGTGGAGCTGAGGGTGTAGCCCATTTGTAGAACATGTGTTGGGCATGAACTAGGGCCTGAGTTCAGTCCGTAGTAACAAAAAACTAGAATAAGCAAAAATGTGAAGGAAGAGGAGGAGGAAGAGGAGGAGGTGGAAAAAGGAGGAGGAGGAAGGAGAAGATGATGACAATGAAAGAAAGAAAGAGCCCTGCCAAAACCAAAATACATAAATATGTATCCATTCCTGACCCTTTAGTGGCTTTACTCTGTAGATTCTGCAGAAGTGTGCATGCATAGAGAATAGTTGTAATGCACAGTTTAACATTCCCACCTCCCACCTCTGTTAAGACAGAGGAAAAAAATCTAAATTCGACTCTAGTCCTTTTGTCAAACTTTCCTGAGTTTTCAAGATGTTTTTCCTTTTGTATTTCCCCCTAATCTTTGATGCAGTTCTAAGAAACTCTTAAGTACATCCAATTCAGTATGTGAGTGTGTATAAGAACAACCATCTCTGCAGTGGTTAAATCAGGGCACATAATATTTAACTACAACAAAGGAAATTGCCTTGGAGGAGATAAACAGGTTTCCTATTGCACTATAATGAGTTGTGGTGAGTACCATGTTAGCTGTGGCAGCCAACACTGAACCAATCAGAGCCTGGCTAGCTGGCAGCACCATTTGGGTTGCCTGGGTAGAGCAAGTCAGTTAAGTAAACGGTGGTTAGGACTTAGGAATCACAAGCATAGCTTGTGCTTTGTGTTTGTCATCCTTTCTGCTTAGAAGGCTGAGATCTAAGGATTGTGCTTCAAATCCAGATCTGTGAGACTGTTTTCTCCAATAAAGCTGAGGGAAACAAAAAGTGGAATTGTTGGGCTGGGAAGGTGGCTCAGTGGTTGAGCGCTTGCCTTGCATGCCTGAGGCCCTGGGTTCGATTCCTCTGCACCACATAAGCAAAAAGAAAAAAGCCAGAAGTGGCACTGTGGCTCAAGTGGTAGAGCACTAGCCTTGAGCTGAAAAGCTGAGGGACAGTGCCCAGGCCCAGAGTTTAGGCCCCACAACTGGACCCAAAAAAAAAAAAAAGTGGAACTGTGGCTCAAGTGATCAAGCACCAGTCTTAAGCAAAAAGCTAAGGCATAGCATGAATTCAAGCCCCAGTACCTACGCATGTGCGTGTGTGTGTGTGTGTGTTTTTAAAATTTTAAAATCATAGGTATTAAGTAAAATTTCACAACCACACCTTCAAGGTAGATGGAAGATTAAAACTCTGAGTGAAAAAAAAAAAACTTGTAGAATAGGAAATGTGGTGGCTACAACTTTCTCCTTTCATGAGGAACTAACCAGAAGGGCCTCTTTGAAAGGCAGTAGTCTAAAGGGCTTTGGAGGGACCAGAGTCTTAGCTTTATTCCTGTTTCTGAATGAGAGGTGGCATTGGAGGCTGGAGTTGTTAGAAGAGCCCTAAGTCTGTGTACTGTGACAAGAAGTTGGGGGATACTGTATGTCCAGTGTCTATACATCTTTCCTCACTAATCAACACATGTAAGATTGTGTGTGTGTGTGTGTGTGTGTATGTGTGTGTGTGTGTGTATGTGTGTTGCCATTGTTTGGTGTTATCTTTCCCCACTAGGGATAGATAAAATGGAAATTCTTAGAATATTCAAGTAAGAAAGGGAAGTTTTCTTAATCTATAAGAAGGAACTAGATTACAATGTATGAGAGAGAACTTAGAGGTGTGCTGGAATTCGTTTTGGAATGTCATTGGGAGTAGTAACTCAGTTCTTTTGGGGGCATCTGTCTAGCTAAGAGTACAATGGAAAATGCAAGCTTTATTGCCTTGTTCAGTCTGGGAGAATGCCTTATATTCTGCTCCGAGTTCTTTCACATCAGTGTGTTCCCCTCTATCCTCCAGTCTGATTCCCAGGGCCCCCATACCCCCTGAGAGAAAGTAATCCAGATAACTTTGAAGAAGACATCCACAGAACAACCATTGAAGTATTCAAAATCTACAGGTTCCTACGAGTGTGCAGCAAATGCAAAAACCTGAGCAGTATTACTTTCAGTAGATGCCCCATCTCCAATTAAATATCCAGGACCAAACATGAGATGATGTCTATAACCCAGTCTGCATCAGTTGTCCCTGAGGGGATCCCTCAGCTTAGTAAAATGTCACTGAGTTACTGCACAGGATGATATTTTCAGACAAACTCCAAGGTCCTCTCTAGTTGGCTCTCTTCTCTGCCCCTCTCAGAACCTAAGTCATATTGCTAGAGAACATTTTGAGTACTGGTATGATTCCTTGTGAAAGAGAACCTATGATATGTAGTTTAAACCTAATATTCCACGTTTTAAGTCATGAACTTTCTGGCTTAGGGTAACCATCAAAGAGCTATTGTACTTGGCATTTGTATCGCATCATGTGCCACGTGATGGAGTTTGGTCAATGATTGGATGCATGTACAATGGTCCCATGAGGGCTATATCACCTCATGATTACATGGCCAGCCTAGTTCACATAAGCACTCTGAGAGGCACATGCAACAAGGACAGCAACCCTATGACACATTTCTCACAATGTGCCATCATCAAGCAGTGCACTGTGTGTATGTTGTGAGGTGCAATGAGTTTATGGTGATCGATTCTGAGCTGGGTTTTGGAGAATGAGAAACCTAAAGTTGTAGTTGTTTGGGAAGAAGAAACCATTTGCATCCACTGAGTCCCTGTCTTAGCAATATCAAGGGAATTTTTTATATTTTCCCCATTTATGAGCTTTTCAAATCTTTGAGCTACATTTTAAAGCCTTCAAACTAACCACCAAAACACTGGACAAACTTATAATTCAGGTTTGAGGGCCAGGTTAAAATAGGGAATAGAATGATTTATCAATAAAGCTGTTACTTCAGCCAGGCACTGGTGGCTCATGCCTGCAATCCTAACTACTTGGGAGGCTGAGATCATGAGGATTGTAGTTCATGACCAGTTTAGGCTGAAAATTTTCCAGTAGTGAGGTGTGGTAGTGTGTCTGTCAGCTTAGCTATGTGAGAGGCTGAAATTGGGAGGATCTCATTTACAAGAAAGTCCAGGCAGAAAAACTGCGCAAGACTTCATCTCAACAGAAGAAGCTAGAAATGATAGTATGTACCTATCATCCCAGCTGTGGTAAGAAGCAAAGAAGAGGAGGGTTATGGCCCAAGAATCCATGAATAGGAAGTGACACCTATCTCAAAAGTAATCAGCACATAACCTTGAGCAAAGAAGCTCAGGGACAGCACTCAGGCCCTAAGTTCAAGTCCTAGGACAGAAAAGAAAAAATTTTAAAAGTGAGATACTGGTGGTTCACATCTCTAGCCCTAGCTATTGAGTAGGCTGATATCTGAGGATTGCAGTTTGAAGCCAGCCCAGGCAGGAAAGTCCATGAGATTCTTATCTCCAATTAACCACCAGAAAACCAGAAGTGGCACTGTAGCTCAAAGTGGTAGAGCACTAGCATTGAGCAAAAAAGTTCAGGGACAGCACAGCACCCAGGCCCTGAATTCAAGCCCAACAACTGACAACAAAAGAAAAGAAAATGGATGCACATGTCTACCAGCTGAGCAACTCCAAGGACTGACCACAATTACCAGAAGCTAAAGGAGAGGCGTGAAACAGATTCTCACTCTGCTTCCACAACAAACTTCTGAGATCTTGACTTCAGACTTCTGATTACTTGAACTGCAAAAGAATAAGTGTGTTGTTTAAGCTATCCATCGGGACCCTTCTGGGAAACCAGCCACATGATCAGAGATTTGGAACTTTCTGTCCACTCTCCACTTACAAAGAAGCTGAAGATTGAATTAATCATCCATGGCCAGTGATGAAAGCAGTCATGCCTGTGTAATGAAGTATTTATAGAAAATAATACTGGAGGGCTGGAGTTGTATCTTGCCTAGCAGCTCAAGGCACTGAGTTCAAAACCCTACAACTGTGGATATGTTGTTGAGCTTACCCATATGCCAAGAATATTGCCAACTCCAACTCTATAGGGACAGAAGCTCCTATCCCAAACTTTATCCTATGTATCTCATCAGCTGATTATTCATGTATGTCCTTTGAAGTATTCTTTGTAATAAGTCAGCAATAGTAAGAAGAAAAACAATAACCAGCACGAAAAGAAGCGGAAGTGTGGCTCAATAGCAAAGTGCCAGCCTAGCAAGTGAAAGGCCCTGAGTCCAAACTCCAGTAACCCTTCCCCTTTCCTCCCAAAAGAGTGAAAAACATTGGATCACATAAACCAGATAAAATTTGAGAGAAATGACAAGTTCGCCATCATCCAAATGTGTTTCCAACTTAGATGTCATTGAAAGTAGTTTACTTCCCTCACAGTTTTGGTGCTGATGCCTCTCTGATTCATAAAAGCACAGGGAGCTGAGCTTCCTTAGCAAATTCAGGAGCTCACCTACACATTTTCTACTATCCCAAAGATAACAGGTCTATTTTAATCACCTCTGTAGAGGTGATTAAAATAGAGAACCTGAAATAAGGAAATGGCTATGGATTACCAGGAGGAC